ACATCAGGAGGACATGGTAGGTAGTTACAGAGGGGTAGTTATAAATGTGGGCATCATTGGCATAAAGGCGGAAACTGTGACTACGGGGTGGGGGTAGGAGATTAGAGAACACTAGTATTTATTTTTTTATTTTTTTAAATATATTTTATTGATTTTTTACAGAGAGGAAGGGAGAGAGATAGTTAGAAACATCGATGAGAGAGAAACACCAATCAGCTGCCTCCTGCACATCTACTGGGGATGTGCCCTCAACCCAGGTACATGCCCTTGACCAGAATCGAACCCAGGACCTTTCAGTCCACAGGCCAATGCTCTACCCACTGAGCCAAACCGGTTTCGGCGAGAACACTAGTATTTAAACAAACCCAGGAAGAGATGCCCATATAGAACTACTAGGCAGTAGCATCTAGGGAGCTGGGAGGAAAACTTGGAGAGCACCATCACAGGTGAGTATTTTCAAGAGTTCAACAAGGTGGGATAGGTTAGCAGTGCCAAATGGCATAGAGGTTGTATGGGGGAAAGAAAATTGTAAAGATTAAAATGTAATCTCTATACTTAGTCATACAAAGATTGAGAGCTTTAATGGGATTTTTAAGAATAGAAATAAAGAGAGCTGAGTAAATGAGATTACCATAAGGAGATTAACATGATTCTGCCTTTGATATTGTAAGATAGCTCCTGTGCCACATAACCACGTTTGAGTTGACAAGGCACCACACATACAACCATGGTTCCATAAGATAATTACGGAGCTGAAAATTTTCCATCACCTAGTGACATCGTGCCCATGTAACACATGCATTACTCGTGTGTTTGTGGTGATGCTGGTGCAAACAAACCTACTGCGTTGCCGGTCATATAAAAAAAGTAGAGCACATACAATTACACAGTACATAATACTTGATAATAAAAGACTATATTAATGGTTTATAATTTACTATACACTTTTTATCATTATGGTAGAGTGTACGCTTTATACCTATTTTTTAAAAAGTATGCTGTGTTACACTAGCAGCCTCATCCATCTCGTTTACCCAGTCTCTTCATGCCCTCACTTTCTCTCGTGCCTGATTTAATCTACGTTGTTTTGTACAGTAACCTGCTGTGCAGGCTCCTAGCCTAGGACCACTAAGCCTTACGATGCAGCCTAGGTGTGCAGTCAGCTGTACCACGTGTGTGTGAGCGCACTGACTGCCACACACCACCCATCACCTAACCATGCATTTCTGGTAACCTTTCCCAGAACCTATCTTCACCGTTAAGCGATGCAGGACTGCTGGAGGGGTCTGGGGGGAAACACGGTGAAAGCAGATATGAGAAACAGGTAGGTGATGGCGCAAGGTCACCAACGGGTGAGAGGGGATTCAAAGCTTAAAGGAGGAGGGGGAAGGGGAAGTAGAATGCGGGAGGGAGGTGATTAAAAAGGGGATTCGGGAAAGAGATGGTTGCAAATGCAGATAGGTCTTCTAACCCCCAGCCTAGACCCAGGCACTAAGTTTAAGCTCCTTTCCGGCAGTGCCCATGTTTGATCACATGTGTCTATCTCTTTAAGAAACAAGTGCAATGCTTTACTGGGGACTCAAAAATATGAATAAAAGTGCAGCGAGCCCCTGAGATGCTGTAGGGGAGTCAACTCCGTCTCCATTTCGCTCATCACCTCTGCTCCCCTGGAGGCCCAGCCACTCCCCCGGAACCTGCGATGGGCCGGGTGAGGTCCAGGCAGGCACCCAGGAACTCCCAGTGCTGGCGGGGGATCGCCTCACGCCCCGTATCCAGGCGAGCAGCGCGCACCCACGCGGAACGGGGGCAGGCCCCACCGCGCACTTCTCCGGAGAGTGGACCTGCGGTCCTGACCGCCGCAAATCGCCCAACGCCCGGGCAGCCCGGGGGGAGGGGCCGTCAGCCAAGCAGAGCGTCCAGGTCCCGGCGGCGCGGGGCGGCCCCCTCCCGGAGCGCGCCCCCCGGTGCGCCGCTACCCGGGACACCGCGGCGCCAAACCGCGCCCGCCCTCGGCCGCTCCGCCTACCCAGCACCCGCGGCCGCGCCCCTTCACCCGCCCGGCGACCCCCAGAGCCTCCTCGGCGATAACTGCGAAGCCGGCTCACCTCACCAGGCCGTTGGGGCCCGCACCTCCGCCGCCTCCAGGGCTCAGCCGCTCACGCCGCACCCCGCCTCCCCGGGCTTTCCCACAAGGCCCCGCGCGCCCCCGCCCGCCCCGCCCCCAGGCGCGTGCGCAGAAGGTAAAACCTGGCTAGGGACTTGGCAGGTGTGTTAAAGCGAAGTGGGAAGATTTGCCCGCCTCCAAGGTGACTAAACTTCACGGGAGGTAACCCGAAACCTTCAGGGTCATCCTGACTCGTGTCCCAAGTTGTAATGCCTTGCATATTTCTTTGGACTTCCCTCAAACTACTTAGTCCCGAATATTTGCCTTGGATCTTTGTGAGGATGACAGTCATGGGAGAGAGTTACTGGTTCTCTACCGCGAACAGACGATGTAAACTTGTAACTCTGGCAATTTTGCAAGGTTTCTCCCCCTCCCCCGCCCACCCCTTGAAGTGCTTATATGTGTAAACCATTTGGTAAACCAGTTCTTCAATCCACCTTTGCAAGTAGACTCCTGTGTCTATCTTTGAGTCCTTCTGTAACATGTCTGAGCACTGAGGTCTGTCTTTAGATGTGTCCTGACTTACCAAGCAGAAAGAATATGAAGCTTGTAACATTTCTTGCTTCTACTTCCTATATGAGTGATTTCTCTTTTATTTTTATGACAACTCCAAAAAAATTGTAAAACAAAAATAATTTTTAAATTCCACGAAAACAAACAAATGAGCAAAACTTTTCATTTGGAACAGCTCTATGATCTTAAACATTAGCCCAAAAATTCAGATCAGTGGTTCTCAAAAGCTTGACTAGACTTTGGAATTACCTAGGAAGTATGAAAATATGTTTGATTTCTAGGCCCCATACCCAGAGATTCTTTTTTAAAAATATATATATTTTATTGATTTTTTACAGAGAGGAAGGGAGAGGGATAGAGAGTTAGAAACATTGATGAGAGAGAAACATCGATCAGCTGCCTCCTGCACACCCCCCACTGGGGATGTGCCCACAACCAAGGTACATGCCCTTGACCAGAATCAAACCTGGGACCCTTCAGTCCGCAGGCTGACACTCTATCCACTGAGCCAAACCAGTTAGGGCGAGATCCTTATTTAATTCATGCAACCTGGGCATCATGATTTTTTTAAGTCACAGGCTATAGCTGTACCGTTGAGGTTGGGGACCACTAAGCCAGGTAATGGTCAATGAAAAACCTCCCTTGGGCCCTCCCTTACAAGGTCATATTATTAGCACATCTTTCCCACTGTATAATTGTTTGGTATCTTGGTATTTTAAAATCATAGTGGTCGAATCATTAATCTCATTAAAATATTTACTAATGAAATGATTCTTTGGTTTTTGTGTTAAGGGAATAGATAACGAAGAGTCTTTTGTTTTAAAAATTAATAGTAAAAAACTTAAAGCAGATATTGATGTATAGATGTTCTTAACAAAAGCAACTGTATTTTTTTAATTAATTCTGGCAGAGTCAATTGAAATGGGAGAGGAAAGAGCCAGCTGACTGCTCTGGTAAAACCTCATAGACCCTTGGGTGAATTCTCTTTCTCTCTCACCTACAATAATCAGACAGTTGTTTCGTGAGTACAGAATCAAAGTGAGAGGAGTTAGTTCAATGGTCTCCATGGCCATCATCACCTAATTCTGAGGCTTCCACTGGCCTACAAAAAAACTATGCCTATAATGGCAGCCTTCTCTCTTCAAGGGAGTTTGAGCATTTTTAATTTGGGGGCAGTCATGTGCTCATCTAAAAAACTCAGAATTCAATAAATAAGGAAGAAGAGGAGAGCAGATATTGAGGGGCAACCAGTAACCTCTGTCCCAGGCCTTAAGTATTCTTTGAAAGAAGGAAGAATGAGTCATTACTGCTAGAAATCTAGGCTCACTATCACCTGAGGAAAAGGGTTGAATTTTGTAACCCTGATTCTGCTTCTTGCTGAGAATGTAATCTGTAAAATGAGGCATAATCTAAAACTCAGTTGTTTAGGTATAATTAAAACAGTGGAGATAAAAAATACCTAGTGGAGAGAGAAAATGAATGTAAAACTCCTATCTAGCACAGCATGGGACATGGTAAGAGCTTTAACAAATGTTATTGCTCCCCCTCCCTCTCAGGTTAGGCTCTGACTAACTAGTTCCCCCTGACAGCAGGCTTTAAGAAGGACCGTGCTCAGGAATATTTCAAAATGGTTTCTTTTCTCCTGCCTGTGTTGGACCCCCAGCACTAGTTTCTGCTCCAGAATCTCTTTTCCAACAAGCCCTGTCTATGGTCTCCTGTCTTTCCAATCTTGGGAGCAGTGGTTTCCTGTGTCGTCTCTTCTCTTACGAATCCAAGGAGAGTTGTTGGTTTTTCAGTCTGTTCTGTTCTCACTTGTTGTTAGGGTGGAGTGGCAACTTCCAAGCTCCTGTATGTGGAACCAGAAGCCGGAAGTACACTCCTCCCATTCTTCACATTACAAGTCCACCAGGAAGAATTTTCTCCCCATCTAGGCTAGAGGGACTTGGTGAGTCCTCAGGGACTTCAGAGATACCATGTTTTCCAAGCCATCCTGAAGAAACACTGAAAGCAGAAGTACCACTCCCAGCCCTGTTCCGGGCAAAGGCAGGGAGGCAGACATTTGAGGAAGGCCAGTTACAAGAAGAGACACATTTCAAATTTTCTTAAATGACTTTAATTGGAGACTCAAACACTCTGTAGTTCAAGCCTGGCTCTGTGGAACAGCATCTGGTACTCAGTGGAGTTAGGGGAGAAATGCATAACTGAGGTTGAAACGCAGTCTCCCTGGTCTTCCCTTCTAGAGTTTGTTGCTGCGTAAGCCTTAAAATAATTGTTAACGACACCAAGCTATAGGCTCCTTTCTTCTGATGCAAAATCCTCCGATGGGAGAACTCTTTCACAGGTTATTTGGGATCAAAATACAGCTCTGTAACTGCACTCAATAGCTACAAGCAGGAACATTCTTGATGCAGTTACTGAGCTGGCTGCAAAACCCTCCAGGCCTGGAGAAGTCCACTCCCTGCCAGCCCACTCACTGTGTCAACCCATGATCCTCTCTGTCTAGCATTGGAGTTCTCCCAGACCCTGCTCTGAGAGGATGCAACCCTAGAAAAGACCAAATACCCATGCTTGCTTTCCATGGCCTGGTTTCTTTGAGGCCCCAACATAGGGCTGAACTGCTGTTTGCAGAGCTGTGTACAATAACAGCCATTATAGTCATCTTGAATTTCTGTCAGCCGTTCTTCCTAAGAACAATTGATAACACTTTCACAGTAATAATTCATCAGGTTTGCCCTCTCCCCAACCCCAAAAAGAGGAGAGGGGGCAAACCCCCTCCCTGACATTAAAAGGAAACCTGAGGCCTGGAGAGGTCAAGGACTTGCTCACAGTTCCAACTTCCGTCAGGGCAACGAGCTATGGAGGGCCCCACCTTCTGTGTCTGGATGCTGTTCCCAAAATGCTGGAGGACAAAGACCTGACTGTTCCCCTGCATTTTTCTAATTTGTATCTTTTCTCTCTTTCCCAGATGGGCATGTCTGGATTTGGGAATCCCTCCCAGTCTCCTCCATGCCCCCTCCAGTCCAGAGCGGATAGCATCTTCGTCCCGCCAAAGCTCTCACTGCCCTCATGCCCCTTTCTGGCTCCAAGCTCTATCGGGTAGAAGACACCACGTAGGCTTTTCCGTAGGTGGTCTTGTCCCAGCTGTAGGTCTGGATGGCCAAGGGATAGCCACCCAGGCTTAACTGGCACCTGTGGAGAAAGATCATCAAATCCTGGGTTCCTGCTTCACTCCACCCCTGTCCGCAGACAGGAAGGAACAAGCCCAGTTCATGCAGAACTCCAGACTATCTTAGAAGGCCTCTAAGAGGCTGCCACCGCTTACTTCAGCCACTGCCCCCAGCTCCCCACGCGCATGGAGCCCTTTCAAAATCTATGCCTATTTCCTTTCTTCTAAAAAACAAAACAAAACAAAAACCACCACTTTTCATCTTTCCCAGAGCAGTATTCTAAAATCCCAGATTCTAGAGCTGAACTCCCAGAAATTAAATGTCTGCTTAGGGTTTCAGAAGTAGCAGGACCCAGAGTTCTCAAATGTTAGAGCACCTGAGGCCCAGTGGTTTCAACCGTTCTCTCTGGGGCTCTAGGGTTCCCCCAAGCAGCCTCAGGGGCAATCAGGAGGCTTGGAACACTAGGCAACTCCATTTCTCACTTTCATATGCATTAAGGTCCTGCATAAGATTTCAGTTGGAGGAAAGAGGGGCAGCAGTTCTTTGGCTAAGATAAAGCTTGGCAGCCACCAATCTGATAGATTCATTTCCCAAGTGAGAACCCTGAGGCCCAGTCCACACCCTCTGAGCCACCGAGTGGCAGAATCCAGGTGCCCCAACAGTCCCGGCTGAGGCAGCCTGCGGCCCCAGCCTGCCCCCTGGCCTGGCAGGCCCAGTACTTACGTTTTGCCTGGCCTGGCGATGAAGCACAGGGAGTAGAGCGCAAACTCAAACTCGGGGCTGCTGCCGATGAAGGCGGAGCCCACTTCCTTATAGTAGCCGTCCCAGTTGAACTGCATGGCCAGCACGTCAGGGTAAGACTCCCACTGTGGACAGAGGGGGGTATGAGTGCCACAGAGTGGAGGCTGACTGGGTGGTAGCAAACGGCAGCCGTCAGCCAGGATTTGGTGAGGGCGCATTAGGTGTCTGTGTGAACTTTCAGGGGAGGCTGGATTCTTTAAATAAACAGTCCCTCCTACGACAGTGTGTAAGCCCCTCTCAGACCCTGTGTCTGGAGCTTCCTGTGCAGGGAGGCCAGAGTCAGCATCTATATGATCGATGCCTGGGGAACAGGGACATATCTGTTCCCTCTGGCCCTCACACGTGGAAGAAAAGGATCGTTGATCACTCCCAAATTATTTTCCGGCACCGGCACTAAAGGTTTCATTTTTATAAAAAGTTTAGCTCAGACTAGCCAGATGAAACTCCCAGCTGAACCACATTCTAAGAAAATTCAGGCAGGAAGTAATTGCATGTCATGTTCTCCCCTCTGAGAACCCTCCCCTGCCCCCAGCCCCATCCAGAGATGGTGCCCTCTGCCTCCTGCCCCTGCAGTTGGGGAGCCTTCACGGTTTGGAAAGGAATCCCAGTGTCCTGGCTGGCTAAACCCACTGTCCAGCAGATGGGGAAGTCAAATTCGTAAACCCATTAGCTGCCAATGAAAGTCAGGGTGAGAGACAAGTCTGACTGCTCAGAATGCAGAGCGAGGGCAGAAAGTCTGGTTACTAGCAAGGTGTCCCCGGGGTCAGCGCTCAGTACTCACAGGCCCATCATAGATGTGACTGTAATAGTCAACCAGGCCCTCCTTCTCTTGCATGTAGAAGCGGATCCAGTTATGGAAGCCAGTGACCTTGCCTTTTTTTATTTCACCTAAAATAAAGAGTGCAGAGTGGGTGATGGGGCCTCCCCGCTAGCCCCTCTCGCCCTCCCATGCCAAAGCTGTCTCACTTTTCAAGTCTCTAGACTTCCCACCTGCTCAGCCCCTTGCCCACGCTGCTCAGAGTCCCTTGCATTCCTAACTTTTACCTCCAGAAGGCCCCCCTTTCAGCTCAAGCCCTTGGGGAAATTCCTCCTCCTGGCTGACTCTGGTAACCAATCTGACATACATTTCTCCAAGAGCAAACCAGACTTGCTGGGAGCTTTATGGGTCAATGCAATGGGCAGAAAGACCAAGGCCCTCTTGGGAAGCAGCTGACCAAGATCTAGAAGCGGAGGACCATTTAGAGGTAGACAGCCATGGCCCCCAACATGTCTCCCTTCCTACATGTGCCCCTTGGGAGCCCGGCATCTGGTCCTCTTTCGCCCTTAGGCTGTTCCTCAACAGTGACTCCTTAGGCCCCACCCTCTCGGCCTGGGAGTAGATGTGCCCCTCCCTGCTAGCTGGTATAGCTGCAGATTCGTCAATGCCCAATCCTGAGGGAAGCTATTTCTCCATCTCTTTCTTTCCAAGCAGAGTGATCCCACCTGAGAAGACGTGTTCAAAGCCACTTGAGTCCCCCTCTTCATTGCCTCTTGAATAGAGCCCAAACCACATGTTCTTCAAGTCATTGGCAAACTCTTGTTCAGAGCTGTAGCGGTCTGGGGAGAGAAACATAGAGGATTTAAGAGAGGGGAAGGCAGGACCAGATCCTGGGAAGGAAGGGCCACCTGCTCCATCATGTCAAGAGACACATGGGTTCAACCAACAAATGTATGCCATTGTTCATTCAACAGTGACCTATGGGGCAACTGTTTTGTGCAAGGCCCAGATCTAAAGGTGAAGGATTCAGCAGGGAAACACAGGACTAGATCACTGTCTTTACAGTTTGCATTCCAGTAGAGGAGACAAATAATTAACAAATAAACAATAAGTAAACAGTATGGTTTCAGATAAGTGCTATGAAGGAAATAAAGATTATCCCATGATGACTGAAGGTGGGGATGATGGGGATAGGAGCTCGTCTAGAAAAGGAAGATCAGAAAGGCTTCTCTGAGAAGATAGCACTAATCAGAGACAAAGGATTAAAAAAAAAATCACTCCTCGCTCGGCTGGTGTGGCTCAGTTGGTTGAGCATCATTCCATGCATCAGGGGTTGCCAGTTCGATTCCCGATCAGGGCAGATGCCCAGATTACAGGCTCAGTCCCCAGTAGGGGGCATGTAGGAAGCAGCCGATCAATGATTCTCTCTCATCATCGATATTTCTATCTCTCTCTCCCTCTCCCTTCCTCTCTCTGAAATCAATAAAAACATTTTTTTTAAATCACTCTGGTTGTGTGTGTAAAAGAGTCAGCAGGGCATATGAGCATCAGAGAGACCAGTTTTGAGGCTAATACTTTGTCCAGGTTACAAGTGATGGTGGCTTAGACTGTGGTGGAAGAGGGATGAGAAGTTTTTACTGATTTTTAGAGAAAGAGGGGGAGGGGGAGGGAGAAAAGGGAGAAACATAAATGGGAGAGAACCATTGATTGGCTGCCTACTGAGGACTGAGCCCTCAACCTGGACATGTGCCCTGATTGGTAACCAGCGACCTCTCGGTGTATGGGACAATGCTCAACCAACTGAGCGACTCCAGCCAGGGCCAGGGATAGATTTTGAAGGTGGACATAATAGATGTTGCTGGTGGAGGAAGTGGAAATGGGGAACAGTGAGGTAAAAAGGAAAATCAAATATAACTCCTGGGCTTCTGACCTGAGCAACTGGATGAGTGACAGTGTCATTTATGAGATGGGGAAAACCGAGGAAGAGTAAGTTCCGAAGAGATGCCATTAGGTAGGCAGGTAGGGGTGTCGAAAAGGCAGTTGGGAGCCAAGGAAAAGGTCAGGGCTGAGAGGTCAGGGCTGGGGGTCTAAATGAAGGAGCCATCAAATACCAACTGTTTACTGCCCAGAATTGTGTGGGGGGATGCAAACGTGATACCAGACATAGTCCCTTCTTTCAAGGACTTAAAACACAATTGGAAAACAAGACTAAATATGCACAAAATAACAGAATGGTTTCACAATCCGAATGGCAACCACTTTCTTGGTGCCAGGCTTTCCACTGAGTGCTTTACAAGAATACATCCTCCAAGACCCATTTCACAGATAAGGCTCAGACATGTAGGATAACGTGTTCAAGGTCACTCCACTAGTAAGTGGCAGAGCCGAACTCTAATCCAGTCTCTCTGGACCAAGGCTATTTGGGGCCAGACCCCAAGCCCCTGAGCTCTGAAGAGATGATGAAAGCCAGCTAGCTGGGAGCTGCGGCAAGTACAGCTTCACACATGCAGTGGGATGTGAGCTAGAACTTTAAAGACAAGTGGAATTTGGACAGGGAGAGGGATGAAGACAGGGTGTGTACTGCAACAGCCTGGCCTCGGCATGGGAACCCGGGGTTTCAGCCTGGCTCTGCTTGCAACTTCCTTTGTGGCCTCAGCCACGTCACCTAGCCTGTCTGGGCCTCCATCTCACTTCAAAAGTTGAAGGGCTCAGCCTGGACCTCCAAGATTCTCTCGAGTGTTTACTACAAAGAGAACACCAGGGGGCGTTGAAGGATTGCCTCCCCTTCATCGAGATTACAAGTGTGCCTTGGACTTCACCTAAAAAACAAAGCACGTTACCAAGTCAAGGCAGAAGCCCTTGGATGGAATGGAGAGCCGAGATCAGAGGCCATCCCAGGGCCCGGGAGGGAAGACCTGGACAGAGCTGCTCTGAGGCAAGGCCCAACTGCCTGGGTTGCGGGAAAGGAATCTGGAGGACACTAACAAACACAGCCCGTGCCAAGAAGTTCCGCAGCCCTGACCTTTTTTGGTCTGACTCAAATGTTTCTATCTGGAGTCACTCCAATCAGAACCCTTCCTGGTAGAACCTTCCCCTCTGAACCTTTGTTGATTTTCTGTTGCTGTTTCCCCAACAACAACAAAAGTGGAGTGGGCCCACCTCCTTCCTGGACTTAGCAGGAGCAGGAGTAGAATCAGGGATGCCCTAGGCCTGGAAAGTGGCGCTGAGCTGGGATCAGCTGAGGTGGCTGACCATGCCCTGGGTGGAGCCGGCTGGCTCACAGCCTTGCAGAGAACGCTGAGACTGAAGCAGTGAGTGGGAGGTAAACAAGGCAGCTGAGAGTAAATCAAAAGATGGGTGACTTCCAGGCCAGACGGAAGATTCTTCAGCCCCTGCTTGGGTCCATGATGTTTTTGGGCTTCTCTCTGGCCCTCTCTCCCTTCCACCTTAAAAAATGGACACCCAGCCCTGGCCAGTTTTCTCAGTGGTTAGAGCATTGGCCCTCGGACCAAAGGGTATCGGGTTTGGTTCCCAGTCAAAGGCATGTACCTCAGTTGCAGGCTCAATCTATAGCCCCGGTCAGGGTGAATGTGGAAAGCAACCAGTTGATGTCTCTCTCTCTCTCTCCCCACCCCCTTCCCTCCCTTCTACTCTCTCTCTAAAAATCAATGGAAATCCTCGGGTGGTGAGGACTAAAACAATAATAATAAAATGGACACCAGCCTCCATGTGGTCCCCACCCATGTTCTTGCCCTCCCCACTGTGGAGGCCCCAGAGGTTCCTGGCTCTCCTGCAGACAGACCCGAGCCCTCAGCACTGCCTCGGGGCCAGGGGCAGCTTCACTCACTCTGATGATGGAGGAAGCTGTAGAGTTCCTTCATGACGGCCGTCTTCATGACCTCTCTGAGGAAGGTGTCCTGCTCAGCCAGCTGCTGGGCACTGAAGTGCTCCGCCTGGCCCGTCGCCCGCTGGTAGTTGTTGAGGAGGTTGATGAAGGCTGCGTAGGTCGGCTTGGAGAACAGCTTTTCATTGACATATGTGAAGAGCCTAGGGAGGTGGAAGGTGGCCCAGTAAGAGGCCTGAAGGTGGAGCAGAAACCCCTCCAGGACTGCTAGGTGGGCCAGGGCAGGCCTGGGAAGGTTGGGTTCAGGAGCAGAGGGGGGACCTCAGGTGCTCTTGAGGGCCTGCATGAGGTCACTCTGTCCTTACACTTCAGCTCCTGGAAGGTTAGGTACATTCTCAGCCTGGCCAGTCACAGAAACCCTCCCCGCTGGATGCCCACAGTCCCTCAAGGTAGCTTTGTCTGCCTCTGGAGACCTATTTATTTGCTCTCCCTTTGATCCTCCTGCCTGGAGGATAAAAGAGCTGAGGCATCAAAAGAAGCAAGCTTGGGGGAGAGACTTTGCAGGAGGGGAATGACGGGAACGCACGGCTCCGGGCAGTGGTCCACTTGGTCTCTGGTCTCAGAGGGCGAGATGGCATTTTGGCTGTTGAGAATGATGTCTTCCTTCTGTGCTTTGTTGGTGTCCGCCCTGTAGATCTTCTCAGAGATGGCCTTCAGCTCCTCCGTGGTGATGGCGTCACTGCTGTGGGAGAAGCCCTCTGGGAGGAATTGGGGGAAGGGTGTCTCAGAGCCAGAGGGTGGCCAGAGGGAGGCAACTGTCTGGATGCATCCCTTCAGGCACCTTCCAGAAGCTGGCAGCAAGGGAGAGGGGCTGCAGTCAGGCCCCCTAGTGGCCAGAGGACGGGGGCCTTGAGCCTTAAGGATCCTTAAAATCAGCACCTGGCCTTGCCCACAGAATGTCCAGAGAATGTCCACACTGGCCCCTTCCTCAAGAAAGGTTCTCAAACGTTGACGTGCATCAGAATCACCTGGAGGGCTTGTTAACACAGGTTTGTGGGCCCCACCACCCAGAGGTTCTGATTCAGTAGGTCCAGGGTGAAGCGTTTCTAATACATTCCCAGATGATGCTGATGCTGCCGGCCCAGGGACCCCACTGGGAGGACTATTGCTCTGGAGAGTCCCTCTGTCCCTGGGGCGAGGCTAAAGGGAGCAGGAGACTCACCGTGGCCGCACTGGCTCTCGAAATCCTCGCAGCAGTTCCCAAATTCTGGGCAGCGGGCATTGCAGTGGCATGGGTGGTGCCTGTCGAAGGACTCGTGGCAGCGGCCCCGGCAGGAGTCTGGGGCTGAGTACAGGTCTGAGGGAACAGAGGGAGGTGTGTGCCGAGGACCTCTAGAGGTCGCTGGGTCACGGCTAGCTCCCCACACTTAGCTTTGTTTGCTCTCCTGACTCTATTATAAAGATCCCCGGGGGAAGGGAAACAAACAAGCTTCATTGGTCCACACCCTGCACAGTCAGGAAGTCCTTTCTGATGCCCAACTCTCCTTTCGGGCCTGTGTTTTTATAATCTTCCCACTCTAAAAATAAAATCTCTTCCACTTCCCTCTCCGGCCTCTCCACGGGCCTCGGGCCCTCTTTCCTGCCAGAGCCCCCACCCGCAGGCTGCTGAGGGCCTCAGGCTTCTTCCTGCCCAGATCCCGAGTCCAGCGAGCCCCTCTTACCACCTCCAGGTGCTGGACTGGGGTCTGTCTGACTTGGGCCTTGGCCTGTTGCCGCTGAGATGGCTGCCCCTCCCTGTCGCCCTCTCATATCCCTTCTTCTTTATCCTGAAGGTCCCCTTTGGGGAGGCAGACTCACTGCTAGCCGGGGCCTCCTCCATCTCTTCCTCCATCTCTTCCTCTAGCTCCAGGAACGGCTCTGGCTCTTTGGGGTCTTCTTCAACTGAAACAGAGAAGTCAAGTCACCAGCCATCCCCCCTCCCTTTATCTCTGGTTCTCAGTTCCCCCAGCCTCAGGGACAAGCATGTGCAGTAGAAGAAAGTACGAAACAGGGGCGAGGGAACAATGAACCAATACCGAGTGAAGGAGGAGAAAAACTGAAAATGGAAGACAGAAGGGGACTGATTACTGAAAAGAATCTCCCCAGGTGACAGCCCTCCTCACCCTTTACCTCCTGGTACTCAGTGTGCCCATCTATACAAAGGGAGGGGAGGCAGGAGGTGGTCCCTTCTGGGTTGAAAACTCTGATTTGGTTATGACTTTGCTTTCATGAAAGTTGATAGGTGGGCAGGCTTGACATTCTCCAAATGGCAAGGCCCTTACTTAGGAACATGCCAGACCTATCCCACCTCCCCATCGGAGTCAAGCGGGAGCTCCTCCCAGGGCCTCCAGGAATAAGGACTGCTTCCTGAGAAACCAGCTTCCCTTCTTTCTTTGCAACACTTGACAATGGCGGCCAAGGCTGAGCGTGTTCAGAAAAGCCCATTCCTATTGCTGCTCCATCCCTTCAGCTTGCAAGCTGCGTGACTGCAGCCTCTGCCCTGGGCTGAGTCGGGTGAGCTGGGGTGGGGAGGAAGAGGAGGAATGTTCCCGGGACTCCGAGCTCCTTGCTCATCACACGGCGGAATAATTTCCCCCAAAGAACCAACGCTCTTACAAAGTGACTGGGAATCCATGAGTGAGTTCGCTGGACAATACTGTGTGATTACCATCAGGACCACCGTCAGGTTACCCATTCAGTCACCAGGAACCTTCTGAGCACGTACCCCGAGCCAGGCTGTGTTCTGAGTGCTGACGATTCACAGGGTTCTAAACTCAGTTACGTTTTATGACAACAGACTTTTGTGAGCTGATCTAAGGTCTCAACCATACTTATAATATTTGAGTTGCATATCAGACAGATAGAGATTAAATGGCTCCTGGGCTGAGTGTTGCCTCTATCTAGAAATGCGAGTCTGATGGTCTAGGGCAGTGGTCGGCAAACTGTGGCTCTCGAGCCACAGTTTGCCGACTACTGGTCTAGGGTGAACTAGCCTTCCTGGGTCTGCTGAATGGGGCACAAAAGCAGCAGAAAGGGCGGCTCAGATTCTGACAGTGAGCGCTGGGCCTGTGCTCTCTGTCTGCGCCTGATCAGCAGAATTCCTGCGAGTATGTGTGGTGTGTTTGTGTAAACTGAATAAAGATCTCTTCTGGGTGAAAGCAGCTCTGTGGGCATAGGACTGGGTCAGCAGACACCACCTTTGGGCAAATTAGGAGAAGTCACTCCTTTCTTTCAGCAGGCACAGATCTACTCCAAGGCACATGGCTTAGCAAGAAAGATACAGATTCAATTTTGATCTGATTTGCCCTCTCACCAGGTGCCCTCATACAGTGCACAATGCGCACAACCATATGCAGTGATCTTGCGGGCCATGATCTACCATGGCTCTAGGGACCGTGTTTTCCAAATTGGGAGTCAGGACACGTGGTTTGGCCGTGGACTTAGCAAGGCGTTGTGTCCTAAAGCAGACGATCATTTACCTGAAAGTCTGAAACATCGGCAGCATGCAAACCAGGTGGTTATTCAAAGTGATTTTTTTTAATGACTCACTTAAGACTGTGCCATTGCAGTAACAGAAGAACAACTGGCTCTTGAGGGCAGTGCGTGTCCCATTTAATCGCTGGACTGGGAAGGAGGGTTGGAGATGTTGCGGCCAACCCTCGGCCTACTCACTACAGGAAGAGTGGTGTGAACTATGACAGTCACTGTGTCTCCTGGGGGCATGCACGTTGGAAAAGTATGTTGCCTTTTTTTATAGTTTTGCAATTTAAAGTGTTGAGCAACAATTGGTATTGGAATACATAATAAAATAAAATCTGTATCATGTTGCTTTTTGGGGAATTACTTAAACTTTCAAGATATCATTAATCCTGATAGTTCAGACAGATAATCCAGGTAAATGACATCTGTTTTGTTCTAAGTTGGGGTTTTACACTGGGGACATCTTAGAATACCTGGGACCAGTGGCATCTAAATTGCTGATCCCGGCTGCATGCCCAATATCCTCATCCCAGGCCCCCTGAGCGCCAGCATCGGTCCTGAATCCCGTTCTAGACTGCTGGCCATCCAAGCCAGCAGCCCCTGGGGCAGGCTTGGCATGGACGTGGCTCAGCTCACTGTGCTTTCCAGACCCTTCACCCCCCCCCCCCCCCGAAGGAGCCTCACCAGTACACAGGTGCTGGTAGTCGTCACAGCAGTCCCAGTACCAGGGACACTCGCGGTCACACTGGCAGGCAGCATCGCGGTTAAATTTCTCATTACAGCGCGATGCGCATGACTCCATTTTTCCTATGGGAGGTAAGGGTCGTAAACTCAGCCCTGTGAGGATCCTATTCTCCTCATCAAGGTACCCCGAGCTGGAGGGTTCACAGACAAGGGCTGGGACCCCACCTGGCAAGGAAGATCATTGCTGTCTGCAAGGGAGAAGTACTGCCACAGCCCCAAATGCACAACGCCCAGCACCCACCGCCCCTCAGCCACCTCAAAGTATAGACCAGGATCACACACTCAAATGCCTATGGGGCTAGACCTGGGACATAAATGAGTGAAGAAGCAGGAAGGCAGCAGGAAGAGGTGGGGCCTGTGACAAATTTGGGACTAATGCCCAGCCTGAAACTGGCAGCCACCGTCAGCTCTAGCCACTTGCTGCCATGTTGGGATACAGGCTGAGTGTTGCCACAGCCTCTAGTTCTTCAAGAGAAAGCCTTCATTTTTATGTGAAATTTTACAATTTTTAAAAAATTCAGGCAGACCCAATAGAGAGGTCTGTGGGCTGGGTGCGGCCCAGAGGCCACTATTCCCCTGTCCTGTAGATGAAAGGGATTCCCCCTGCCCTCTCCCCCCTGACCCATCCCCTTCCTCTCATCCTGTCCCTTTATGTTTTCTGCTTCTTTGTTCTTTCCTCCCCTTCATCTGGTCTTCTCTGCATCCTATTCGCCCCACAGTCACGTCTTTCTGTTTCTTGAATCTTTGGAATGCATTCAGATTCGTTTATCTCAGGGTGGGGAATGAGGCGGGTGTGGGTGAGAACTGGCCTTTGGAATACGCTGTTATGTAACCACAGACCACATCCCTTACTCCAGCCAAAGGGCTTGCAGAAACAAGCTTTTGGTCACAGGGGCATATGGACAAGAAATTTTAAAAGAAACGGTACAAACCCACTACCACTCCTAAGAAAACAAGCCCCACCACGCCCACCACAGCAAAGACAGTGGAGGGTGCAAGCCGGGGTGAAGCTGGCTGTGGGGCCCTTCCCTCCACTCTGGGCTTTAAGGGTGATAACAGAGCCTTTCTTTCCACTTGAGGTTCCTGGGGTTTGGATTCAGCGAGTGCTGGGGTTAGGGTCAGGCTGTGGGTTGGAGAATGTCAAGATCAGAGTCAGAGTTACTGGCGGTGCCGGAATTTGTGTGAATGAGGAAACTGAAACCTAATTTGGGCCGGGGTGGGGGTTAGTTAGGTTTAGATTAAGTGCTGCAGTTAGGATTTGGGCTTGAGTTAAACTTATTGATAAAATAACAGTTTTGTATTCATGTTTGGGTAAAGCATTGGGGATAGCTTTAAGACCACATTCAGGGTTGTGGAATGTGTCAGGACTGGGAGAGAAGAAATTAGCCCAGTTTTGCCTTAGACTAGATTTGGGATTTGGGTTCTAATTATGATTCCATGCAGGTAGAGCACCTCAATTTAGCCTGGGTTTAGGGCAGAGATGACTATTAGGATATGGGCTAAGTTACTGCTTTGGATTCTGGGATTAGGGCTTATGCTGTGCTAATGAGTGTGACACAGCAGGGAGGTGAAGAACCTGGAGTCTGGCACCAAACTGCTTGGGGCTGGAATTCTGGTTCTGCTGCTTTCTGGCTATGCAATCGTGGGCAGGTTATTTGACCTTCTGTGCCTCGGTTTCCTTATCTGTAAAAGTGTGATAATGAGCCCATCTCATAGAATATTTATAAGAATTAAATGGGTTAGTATTTGTAAAGCACTTAGGATAGTGCATGACAGATTAGCACTACGCAAGTGTTTGTGAGATAAACAGTGGCAAAATTTTATGCTCATCTTCAAGGCGACAGGAATCAGACTGGCTGGAGCAGTCTTCCCTCCCGCCGACCCTGGGTTTCAGCGAGGCCTTCCCTTGGGCTGGGGTGTCTATGACGAATGTTGCTGACAGTCTCCTAGCTGACATCCCCACTATAAGTCTGTTTTCCTTACATCAAAGAAGTGTCAGGTCAAGGTCACCCAGGGCCTGAGGCAACGTCACCTTATGTGCAGGGCCTCCAGGGTGGCCAGGAAGGTAGGCCTCTGATCCAGGGAATTGTCCCTAAGAAAGAGCAGGCCCGAGGCCCCTGTCCCTTCAGGCCCCAGGAAACTCCTCTTGAATCTTAAATGATGCTCCCTTACAGCCTGAATGGGAAGACCTTCAGGAGAAATGTTCAGCCCAGGAGGAAGGCTCGGTCAGCTGCTGCCCGGTCGGTGCCCGGTCGGCCTGGCAGTACACCCAGAATCCGAAGGAGAGAATTCAGACAAAACAGGGCAGCGTCTCTAATGGGCCAGGTCAGCAGAGTCCGAGGAAAGAATTCGCTTCATTCCAGCAGCTGGCACCCGTTGAGACGGGTTGCGAGTGAATAGGCAGCTCTGTGGTGTCAGGAGAACACCCCCACCCCCGGCCCCAGCTGAGCGGACTTCTTCATCTCCGTTCAAGAACTGTGTCCCCAGCAAGAAGCCTGGCCCAGGATCCTCCGCGCTTCCCTGTAAACTTAGGCTTTAAAACAGCGGTTCTCAACCTGTGGGTCGCAACCCCTTTTGGGGGTCTAACGACCCTTTCACAGGGGTCGCCTAAGACCATCGGAAAACACATATATAATTACATATTGTTTTTGTGATTAATCACTATGCTTTAATTATGTTCAATTTGTAACAATGAAATTGGGGGTCACCACAACATGAGGAACTGTATTAGAGGGTCACGGCATTAGGAAGGTTGAGAACCACTGCTTTAAAATAACCTTGGGATTTGAGGGTGGAGGGGAGGGGTGGGAGGAACTGTTCCTCAAAGGGACTTTTCCTGCTGTGCTGCTCTGGGGACACTTACCCTGACTCCTCACACCAGTGCACGCCCCCCTCCCATGCCTTCTGTTTACACCAGTGCTGTGTGTGCCTCGCTCACCAGCCAGGCACCCGAATCCCTGCTCCAGCCACCAGCTGCCCTCTTCCCGCTGTCCCTTCTCTGACTCTGCCTTTCTTCATTTTGGCCTTTCTTCTCAGACTCAGATTCTTCCTCCATTCCCCATGAAGAGCTTAGCCATGACCACCCCACCACCCCCAATGAAATACTAAATTTCTCTGCACCTTCCAAGATGTCAATATGCTAGGATGGATGCTCACTCCCTACCCATTCTGCCCACCAAGAGAGCCTGGGCGTCCCCATATGCCAGTGTTGAGCCCCTCTGATGGTTCGGGCAACCTACATCTGTGCCTCTACAGGGGCCCAGATGCTGTTTCCATGGAGACCTAGTCAACTAAGAAAATTCATTTCCAGGACCAGCTTCCTATTTCAGCCAAAGGCTCCCCAATATGATTCATATTCTTGCATCAAAGTTCTGAGATGTTGAAATAGGATAGACAAGAGCAGAGCCTCTTCCCTCCCACCTTAGGGAAGAAGGCGCCATCAGCCACTCAACCCTCACTTTCCCAGCAATCCCACAGCCAGATCAGATCACCACCCTCAGAGGCCAGGGCTCCACCTGCATGTCCGACACCACTGTTGCCTCTGCCCTCAGGGATGTGCCCCCCTCTTCACCAGAGACCAAAAGTCTTTTTTTAAATTATATTTTTATTGATTTCAGAGAGGAAGGGAGAGGGATAGAAACATCAATGAGAGAGAATCATTGATTGGCTGCCTCCTGCACGCCCCCTACTGAGGGTGGGGGGATAGAGCCACAACCCCGGGCACGTGCCCTTGGCCGGAATCGAACCTGGGACTCTTCAGTAGGCTGACACTCTACCTGCTGAGCCAAACAAGCTAGGGCAGAGACCAAAAGTCTTGAGTTGCTGTCCTCTCCTGAGATTGGGATGTACCAAGCCTGCGGCCACTCCTCACACTAAGCTAGACGTTTTCCTGTCTCACTCTCTGCCACTGGCTCTGCCATGCAGGGCCCAGTCAGAGCTGATTCCTGGCTGCTCTGCAATGAGCGCCAGTGGAGGTACATGATCCCATCCAGGGGTGGACGCCTGGGAACAGTTTCCTCTCCAAAGGCTCTCCACTTAGGAATCCTGCCAGGGGTCCCCTTATCCACAACCTACTTGGAAATGACTCCAAGAGTAAGCTTCTCACAGGAATATTATAGTCATAGTCAAAGCCCCAATTCATTCAGATCTCACCCCATCTAGAGTGCTTCTAATACATTATCTTACTTAGTCCTTACAACAGTCCTATACAGGAACCACCTGGGTTGGGTGGGATGGGTATCAAGCTCTGATTCTTTCTCCTCCAGGCAGACGAGGATTCTCCCCACACACCTCCGCTCAGCTCCCTCCCTTGGCACTCGGTTTCACTCACTCATTAGCCACAATTAACACAGGGCCCCAGCATTCTGCATAGCTGCTAAACAGGAAAGGGCTCCTGTTCCTCTGCTGGTCCCATCCCATCCCCGGCACCGCTAGTAGCTGTGGGCCAGGACCCTTCTCTATGTGTTAATTCCTCTAACACTGGGGCAAGGCCGATTCCCCTGACCACTTGCATAGCCCCAGGTAGCACGTGGCCCACCTCCTGGTCAGGGGCTCTTCCTTCCAGTTTCCCCCTGAGCCTGCCCATCTCAGAGAAAGGTCCCACCCCAGACAACCTCATTTGTTCCCAGGCAGCGGAGGGAGTAACCAAGGGCAGCAGGCCACTCCAACCCAGCAGACCCCAGCCCCAGCTTTATACCATACAATGACCACGAAAAACAAAACTTTGATGAGATCAAAAGTCAGGTTGGACTAAGGGATGTTTGGGGCTGGTCTTCCAAGCTGTCAAGAAATGTCTCCCAGGACATTAAGTCCATCAGCCCTGAAACTCCCTTCACACAGTCCACTCCACTCCAGAGGCAACTCCTGCACCTCAGGCCAGGACCGGTCTAAGGTGCTCTGTGAATTTAGGACAGAGCTGATCCTCTCTTGTCCCACTACTCTCACTCTCTACCAAGTTCCCCAAATCTCTGCTTCTTTATGCAGGACTTCTTCTACCTCCACCAGATAATGACTTACCTGCCCAGGCCAGGCCGCAGAGCATGGCCAGTATCAGGGGGACACAGGCCTTCATGATGCCCAGTTGGAGGCCAAAATGGGATTGGCTGTCGGACTTCCACGAGAGTCAAGATGAATGTCAAAGCTCTCAAGTGCGCCTTATTTCCCAGGCTTGTCCTTTTAAAGACATCAGAACTTGTAGATCTGGTACCTCCAGATCCTTTCCAAAAAGGGGGGAGGGATCCCAGATGGATCGGAGGTGGATGGGGGTGGAGTTCTCCAGCTGTTCGAAGCCAGAGGGAAGATGACTAAGCAGACAGGTAATGCCAGATGTTTAGAACAGGTAATGCTAGCCATCTGTAGTTAGGAAATAGGTCATACAAGCAGGCACAGCAGATGGGCCTATGTCAGAGGATGTTCTGTCCAAATTGGGTGCAGCCATGGACTCATCTTTGGGTAATGTCTTCCAAACACCCACCTACCTGCAATCCACAGGCCTGACTTTTCTATGGGGAAGGGGTTACAGGCTGGCTTCATCTTTGAGTTACTGGTACACAGCATAAGGAACATAGTAAGATGATCATTACAAGTTTGACTAACAAGTGCTCAGGCAAGCATTGGGGTTAGTGGAAGGAGAGATAAAAGAGGCATGGGTTGGAAACAAAGGCTGTTCTGACCACCATCAATGTAGCTAAATCACCTTATAAATATGCAAATTGGCCTCTAACTCTTACTGAGTCAACATCTCAGCTCTTACATGTTTCAGGTCCTCATGGATTTCAGGTTTATGAGGCCAGGGAAGGGTGAGAGGCCTCTTAAAGGACACACCCTTCCTCTTCTGGGAGCCCAGGGCCTCACTCCCTTTATCCTCTACTCAGTCTCCTGTCCCCCAAAGACCATCCCCAGAGAGATGAGGCCTCTCAGGACCCCTTTCCTCCCGAGTCTGAGAACAGGAGTAGCCACTTGGGCTGCCAAGCTTCCTCCTCCTACTGAAGGTTAAATCTGCTAAGTAAAATGCCCTTTCCAGAAAGAGCACTGCATGGGAGTCCTCAGCTCCCTCAAAAAAGAAAACTCTCATATAAAAAGGCAAAGCTGCCCTAGCTGGTTTGGCTCAATGGATAGAGCGTCAGCCTGTGGACTGAAGGGTCCCAGGTTCAATTCCGGTCAAGGGCACATGCCCGGGTTGCGGGCTTGATCCCCTTGTGGTGTGTGCAGGAGGCAGCCGATCAATGATTCTCTCTCATCATTGATGTTTCTATCTCTCTCTCCCTCTCCCTTCCTCTCTGAAATCAATAAAAACATATATATATTTTTTAAAGGCAAAGCTTATGAACAATTGAGACTACTCCACAGTTTTCAGTTTTGGGGTGTGTTTTCTTTGCGGGGGGGTGGCATGTCCTCCTCAGCCAGTGTAGTTTAACAGTGAAACTTTCCCCCTCTTGTCCTCAGTTTTCTCCTCTTTGAAAGAATAGGGTTGAATCAGACAATTCCCTTCCAAGTTCTCAGACTTTATTTTGAAGCTTCCTGCCCATGTCCCAGGCCAAGCAGTTGTCGGTGGGTTAAGGAGAGCCTCCCACCCCTTGCTGTGTGGAGATGAGATCGAATACGTCACGGTCAGGAGTGAGAGGCCAGCCACCTTGAAGAGTAAGCCTGGCCCTGTTAGGAAGGAAGCCAGTTACAGGGAGTAGGAGCAGAAATGGCTGCTTGTTTGTAAGTTTCATTTGCACAACCGAAAGCCTACTGCTGAGTGGTTGCCAGCCAGACTTCTCATTCTCAGATGCCAGTTAGTTTAGGGAATAAAGGGGAGTGTCACTGCTGGGCCAGGAAGCAATGACACCTCGGGATCTGGGATGGGATGGTCTGTCCCTCTCAAGGGCTCAGCTGGCTGAATGGACCCTGGATGAGGCCAAAGCTATCAGAAGGGGTGTGGGTTCTGGCCAGCATTGCCCTGCTATCCAACTGAACTGACTGTGGGATGGAGTTTTTGGGGTGGGTGCGTTGACCTCCATTAGGTGAATTTTAGGTCAAGAACAAGGCTAAAGATGGGCAGACAGACTGACCCCATAGATCCCCTGAGGACCCGTGTGTTTCAGACTGGGTCCTCCAACAAGAACCACAATGTCAACTTAACCACCAACACCAGCACTGATGGAGCCCTTTCCAGGTGTCACACACAAAGAGCGTCCAGTGTGCTCATGCCTTCATTCTCACTACAGCCCTTACCAGGGACTCTCGTCATCTCATTTTACAGATGAGGAAACTGAGGCACAAAAAGGTAGGGAGATGTGCCCAGAGGCACACAATTTTTAAGTTATGCAGTCAAGTTTCTGACCAGAGTCCACCCTAGCAAGCACCGAGGCCACACAGCCCCAGACCACACCTTCAAGTACAGCAGCAGCCACTGCATTATGCCTGCATCACTATGCAAAGGGGCCTGGAGTCAGATTCACTGGAATTGGGGACCTCAGCGGTCACCTAGTTTCACTTCTCATGTGATGGTGCAACGCCCTAACCAGCGGTTCTCAACCTATGGGTCGAGAACAATGAAAATACATCCTGCATATCAGATATTTACATTGCAATTCATAACAGTAGCAAAATTACAGTTATGAAGTAGCAACGAAAATAATTTTATGGTTGGGGGTCACCACAACATGAGGAACTGTATTAAAGGGTCGAGGCATTAGGAAGGTTGAGAACCACTGCATGGTGGTTCTGCCTCCACTTGAATACTTGTGGTGCTAAGGCAGTGGTTCTCAACCTTCTGGCCCTTTAAATATAGTTCCTCATGTTGTGACCCAACCATAAAATTATTTTCGTTGCTACTTCATAACTGTAATGTTGCTACTGTTATGAATCGTAATGTAAATATCTGATATGCAGGATGGTCTTAGGCGACCCCTGTGAAAGGGTCGTTCGACCGCCAAAGGGGTCGCAACCCACAGGTTGAGAACCGCTGTGCTAAGGGGTCCCACCTTCAGGGCTGCTCATACCCCCTTCCCAGACCTTATTTGAAATCCCCAGGACTTTGCAACCCAAGACATGCTGACCTGGATGAAAATAAATAGAATAACAGGAAAAAAATCCACTCAGCCGATATATGAGCATTCATCCATACATTCGTGCAAAGATACCTCACAGATATCTTAGAGGCACATATACAGGGTGTCCCCCAAAAATGGATACACATTTTGAATGATTATAAAGTCAATGTTTATTAACATACTGTTCATTTTCGAAATTTAAAAGAATCTACAGATATGAATAATGTCTTTTTTTGTCAAACCTGTTTTCAAATTGATATCATTCTGGTCCAGGCACTGCTGATAACACGAAGCAATGGAATTGCAAACATCAAGAATCATTTTGTTCAGGATTTGTGCGCCCTCAATTCGGCGACTGTTGTGGTTTTGTACCGTAAACTTTATCTTTTATGTATTGCCCCCCCCCCAAAAAAAAAGTCTAGTGGCACTTTAGGATACATTTTCTTTGTTTAAAGCTTAGTCTGGCTTCACCCATGATTTCAAACCAGTTAAACCTGAAAAGGAGTGAAAATTAATGACTTATCAGATGTTAAAGTGTATATACCTTTTGGGGGGTACCCAATATATGTATATACTGGAGTGGACCAAATAAGTAGGTTTACAGTTGTGAGCACGCGAAACACAGACTTTATTCTTGTGTTATTATTTATTAACCCTGCAGGTCTTTTCCCATACGAACAACTGTAAACCTACCTTTGCTCACCCCTGTATGTACAGAGAGGCGGACACATTAAATTGTACTGCGGACAGTTTCTCTTCTCAGCCAGCTTGGTTTGGACAGAAAACTCTGCGGCTCTTCCTTCTAAGTTCTCCCCCAGTTAGTTAGGGCCTCACATCCACTTTCCACCTTCATTGTAAGCTCCTCCCCAGGAGCCACCATGGGAGGCAGCCAGCAAGGTGAGAGCCCCGGGAGGCGGGGTCCCGGACACCTGGGGTGGGGAGAGGGTGCAGCTGCTGCCTCTGTGGAGGGTTGGAGGGTGGGGAAGAGGGTGAAGCTGCCTAGGCCAGGCTCTAGGAGGCAGTCAGCTGTGAGCGATGTGGGGAGTGGGGATTCCAGCAGTAAATGTTTCCTGGGTGCTCACTATGTGCCTGGTCCATGCTGTTACTGGACTGGCAGGTTCAGGCTGGGCTGGAACACTACTCTTGGAACTGGTTGGTTTCTGGTGGGATGGAGGACAGGGAAGCCGAGGCATCTGGTCGCTGTTTGAAGTAGACCCCCCTCATCTCTGGGCGACCAGAGTAGTCAGGGGTCTGTCAGGACCCGTTGGCTGTGAGAGAGACTGGCACAGGGGACACATGCCCAGGCCAGCCTACTTCACCACCCTTGCCCTCTGTAAAACCAGGACCGAGTCACTCCAGCTAGAACCAGAGACCTGAGGGACCCTGCAGCCGGTGCAGCTCAGGTGAGGCCTGGAGTCACTCCCACAGGGTCCTTCCCCTGAAGATCCTGTGTCTCCAGCCTCCATCCCGCTGTGGCATGTGAGTGCCCTGGATAGAGGCCCAGGACAGTCACCCACACCCGATCACTTGCGAACCACATCCGTCTGTCGTGAGTGTTAGACAGGTTCCTTGTGTGATTTTCTCCCACACGAGCTTGTATACTGTGCACCACATGTGGGTTTCCAGGCATTTACTTTTAAGTTTGTGGGCAGCCCTGACATTCAGCATCACACTCATGGCCAGCCCTGGGCACATTAGTCAGACAGGCTGCTGAGCCATTCATCACAGAGTGCCAGGCTGTGCTTCTGGTTCTGCTGGCCAAGCCCCATGCCAGTCCTCTGCCTGGAATGCCCACTCCCACTAGCCAGCTGTCTGTCTGCTGCTCAGCCCTCAGCCCCAGGGCAAATCCACCTTCCACAAAGCCGGACTTCCTCCCAGCAGCCCACAGGATCCCTCTGCCTATGGACTCAGTTCTTGATATTTGTTTGTCCTGTGTTTGCTGTTGACACATCACAGCTGCCTCTGATAGATGCTGCCAAGGTGCTGGCAGTTAACCCACGCACTGCCATCTAACTTTTCATCCGTACAGATGTTTGTTCAGCTCGACTCTGAAATTCCTTGAAACGGATACCCTGCCTCCCGGGTCCCTTCTACTACTTTGAATCTTTGTTTAAAAATATTTTTTTATTGCCCTAGCTGGTTTGGCTCAGTGGATAGAGCATCGGCCTGAGGA